CCCGGGTTCAAGCTATTCTCCTGCCTCAGACTCCCAAGTAGCCGTAGCCGGGATTACAAGTGTGCGCCACCATGCCTGGCTAATTTTTGTAAATTTAGTAGAGACGTGGTTTCACCGTGTTGGCTAAGCTGGTCTTGAACTCCTGGCCTCAGGCAATCCGCTCGCCTTAGCCTACCAAAATGCCAGGATGACAGGTGTGAGCCACTGTGCCCGACCAGCTGTTACTTTTCTACTGAGATGACATCCACAGTTTGCATCTAGATGTTTCTTTCTGTTATTGCTTTTCTGACCAGTGACTTTGTGTTGATATGTCATGGTTAGAGGTGTAAAGCAAAAGCTGTAGGGTTTTTGTCTGAGTGTGCATGCGTGTTCAGATGTGTGTATGTGTACGTATGTGGATTCTGTTACATGTTTTGTGGCCATAAGGTACCAAATTGGCTTAAGTTAAGGAGTACCCATACATTTAGTACATAATAACAAATTTCACGTGACTTAATTAAATTTTTTTTTTTTTTTTTTTGAGATGGAATCTCGCTCTGCCCCCAGTCTGGAGTGCAGTGGCGTGATCTCGGCTCACCGCAAGCTTCACCTTTTGGGTTCAGGCCATTATCCTGCCTCAGCCTCCTGAGTAGCTGGGACTACAGGCGCCCGACACCACGCCTGGCTAATTTTTTGTATATTTTAGTAGAGATGGGGTTTCACCGTGTTAGCCAAGACAGTCTTGATCTCCTGACCTCGTGATCCGCCCGCCTCGGCCTCCCAGAGTGCTGGGATTACAAGCATGAGCCACTGTGCCCAGCCAAAAGTATTGGTAAAGTAATATAAAAAGTGTCTTTAAAACTGTCAGCATACATTTTTGTTTGCATTTATTGATTTATAAAGGGTCAAAACTTGGCATAAGCATTATAAAACTCTAAACCCAGCTGAATGCCACGCATGGTGGCTCACGCCTGTAATCCCAGAACTTTGGGAGGCCGAGGTAGATAGATCACCTGAGATCAGGAATTTGAGACCTGTCTGGCCAACATGGCAAAACCCCATCTCTACTGAAAAATACAAAAATTAGCCAGGTGTGGTAGCGCATGCCTGTACTCCCAGCTACTCAGGAAGCTGAGGCAGGAGAATCACTTGAACCTGGAAAGGGGAGGTTGCAGTGAGCTGAGATCGAGCCTTTGCACTCCAGCTTGGGCAACAGAGTCAGACTGCATGTTAAAAAAAAAAAAAAAAATTATAGGAAAACGTTCTTTCTACAAAATTCCTTATTAAAAGGTAAATAATTTTGTCTAATTCAAAGCTTATTTAAAGTTTATGTATAAAATGAAGTAAAAAGAACAAGAAAATAAGGGAGACTGAGGGAAGTTATAGATATAAAGAGGTCTTTTTGTTAAGTAAGGTTAAAAGAAAAATAATTTTATATGAGAAAGAATCTTGTATGGTAAATGTCCTTAAATAAATGACTGGTTGTTTTAAAAAAGGGATGTTCAGGACAATCTAGAAAGTCCACAGGTCGTGAATGGTCTGTGTAAGCTGCAATACATTTAGTAAAAAAGGAATTTATAAAAATGTCACATGATATGTCGGGCATGGTGGCTCATGCCTGTAATCCCAAAATTAGCCAGGCGTGGCGGTGCACGCCTATAGTTCCAGCTGCTCAGGAGGCTGAGGCAGGAGACTCAGTGGAACCTGGGAGGCGGAGGCTGCAGTGAGCCGAGATCAGGCCATTGCACTCCAGCCTGGGGGACAGAGCGAGACTCCATCTAACAACAAAAAAAATTGTTTTAAGGGGTAATGAATGCTGGTCCATGTCCATTCCTATCTGGCCTAGAAATTTTAATGGGCTGTAAATCTTTTAACTCTAAGTCCCTGGGTCGTAGGGAGTCCTACTGAGGGGCAGGATTGACCCAGGGTAGGCAGCCATACCAGCCCAGCAATGCTATGAGACACAATTAAGATTTGGTAGCCGTTGATGTTGCCTCTGGCAAATCTTGGCCAGAAGGGGTGAATGCAAACCAAAAATTAAACCCTAAGGCCCCCCAACCATCCGCATGGAGCCCTCCTCTCAGCCAAGGACATTCCAGTGTTAACCTGGAAACTTGCTCAGGCCATGGTGGGAAGGGGTTGTAGGTCATGCCTCCTCCCTTTTGGAATTCAGGAAAAGCCGACCAGCATTGATATCAACACAGGCCTTAAGTCTGATAGGAAACATTTACAAGGTATTCTCTCTGAAGCTGGAAACCCGAGGCTTCAGCTGCATGGAAAACCACAACCCCTTACTGAAACCCAGACATTCCTTTCTGTTGAGAATAACTCTTTCAACCAACTGTCAATCAGAATCATTTTGAATCTACCTATAACCTAGAAGTCTGCCCACACCACCCCAACTTATCCTGCCCTTTCCGATTGAACCCGTGTAAATAAATCATGTCTCCCTAAAATGTATAAAAGCAAGCTGTGCCACAAGCACCTTGGGCACCTCCTGAGGCTGTCATGGGTGTGTTCTTAACGTTGGCAAAACAAATTTTCTAAAGGGACTGAGACCTTCCTCAGATGCTTTTGGGTTTGCACCCTCCAGGCTGGGATTCTCTGTCCCTCAAGCCCCTGCCGGCCAGACAGTCCCTGCTGTTCAGAGGCAGCCAAGGCTTTCTGGTCCGACCCTGGGGGCTGGAGGAGGTGGGGGCAGAAGGTGGCAACTGGGTTGGGGGATGTTTCATTGGGTCCCCAAAGCAGAGGGTGCCCCCCACTGCCCAAGATGCTGAGGGTGGTCCCTGTTGTCCTATTTCTGAAGATGCCAGAGGAAGTCCCTCCTGAGGGCCGGCCCACAGCCGAAGGGCTGCTCCTGCCCTCGGAGGGCAATCTCAGGGTTGAGAAGGTTACAGCCACCATCCGCCACCAACCTAGCTGCTTGTGCCGATCCCACTGGCTAAGGCCTGGGCAGCCTGTGTCCTGCTTACCAGAAGGCCACAAATGCAGGTAGGTGGGGTAAGGGCCATGGTGGGGGGTTGGCAAGGCATGCTGGCCACACCCGTCCCGGGCATCTTCTCCCTGGGGTGTGACTCAGCCATGCTCCTGAGCAGGATCCTCTGAGCTGAGCCTCACTGCCGCCTTCCCACCTGCAGAGTCCCCAAAGGTGCGCTCTCATCACACACTACTGAGGGACAAACAAGGCAGGGCGGGCCTCCATCTGCCACGGGCCACAGCCGTGAGTGTGCAAGCGAGTGGACGTGCTGGTGCCTGTATCTGCGGCCGGTGTGGCTTCCCTTACATAACTTTCCATGCTGTAAAACCAGCTCGGCCCGCCCTGCCTGGGAACGGCAGAGGCCTGAGAGGAGGCAGAGGAAGGAGGCTGGATGCTGAGCTGTTTTCCGAAGGTGGTGCCTGTGACGTCGGGAATGGAGGCAGGCTGGATTCCCACGGGCTGAGGCTGTGTGGACATTCCTCCTGGCTTCTGCCCCAGGACCTGCAGCAGCGTCTCAGACCCCCACCAAGGTGTCTCGGAGGGGCAGAGTCAGGCTGAGCATGGACACAGACTGCCCTCTGCCCGTAGCCACAGCGGGACCCACCCTCAGTGTTCAGCCACCTTGCTGACCTGTGGTTGTCTCTGAGAGGCCATCAGGGTTGGGGCAAAGGACAGGGCCACAGGCAGCCAGGTGGCGAGGTCCACCTCCCAATCCCCCACCAGGGGACCACCCTCAGCTCCCCGCGGTCCTTAGCTGCCTCTCGGTGAGGCGGTGGGCTGTGGTGCCTGACCTTAGCGTCCCACCCCAGCGCCCGGTCACTTACAGCTCCCTCCCAAAGTGTCTGGGGTCAGAGAGAGGTGGAGAGGACGCAGCGCCCCGCGCTTTCTAAAGTCTGTCCAGAGGGAGGTGGGGGCGTCCCGGGACTGGGCCAGGCACCTGCAGG